GGCGTTGTTCTTGCCTCTTTTTATGCCTTCCAAAATTTATTGCAGACATACGGATTTTGAAATTTATGGGCCACGCTAATGGTGCGTCTCCGAGCCATGCCGAGCCCAGCCGTTGCGGTAGCTATGTGTGTTTTTTAGCTATTGCGATCTAGCTGGAGGCCTTAACATGTCTGAGATGTGTGTCAGGAACTAAAGTTATCAAAGATTTTGATTTATGGTTGGATTACAACGTTTAACAAATAGGAAAATCTGGAAATCACAAGAGGCTAATGGCTAAAGAAAAGGATTCTTAACTTTAGCAGAAGTCAAGATTAGCAACTGTTTTATATATTTTCTTACAGAAAATAATTGTTTATTCAGATTTGTTAAAATTTAGATTAACACCAACAATGGCATTACTTATAATAATTCCCATTACTTTCAAGTTAGAAAACGTTGATTTATTTTTGTTCGCTCAGTGTATAGTTAGCCTCATTTCTTTGACTTGTTTAAAGTGTCAATATTTTTGTGCTGATTGTTGTTGATATTTCACGCCTCAGCCAACTAGGGAGTGTTGTTATTTTTTCCGACCGAGGTTTGCTGGATACGAGTGTATGATTTAAGCTGAGCATGTATAGGGTAAAGCTGCAGCTAGTTGCTTGATTTATGGGTTAGGTTGCAATAAGTTTGATTGAATGTTCGCTTGAACAACTGTTGCTGCTGTTACAGTAAATTTTTCGTGGAAAGATCGTATCGGAGCCGAGCTTGGGGCGCAACTTGGCTTAGTCATGCGACGAGCTGTTCGTGCCTCAACATATTGAACTCTTGACCCGCAGCACTAATTGTTTTATAAGGTATCGCAATTGCTCAACGCTGAGTTTAATTGATCAAATGCGACGACAACAACAGCAACAACAACAACGTTGCTGAGCAAATGACATGGAAAACATTGCGAGGCAACAAACAACTTTCATTTTTCATATAGAGCGAGCGATGTTGCTGCTGCTGCTGCTGTTGTTATTGTTGCTGTTGTTGCTGCTGCAGTTGCAATTAAATGTGCCCCGTTTTGGTGGGTGTCAAGTGTAATGGTTTTTCAGAACGTCAATCTCCATAGGGCGGCAGCTAAATATAGACAATGCCCAAAGCGAGTTACAACCACAGCCCCATGTCGAAAACCTGCTGTTGGCGGCATTTATTTATTTTTTTGTTTGTTATTTTTTCTACAACTTTTTGGCGTGGGCTAACAGCCAGTTACAAATGGCAATAACAACAACTAACTTGGCTAGCAAGTCGCTGGAGCAGGTGTCGCTGCTGTTGCTGTTGCATTATGCAATCGCCGACAAGTTGTTTGCATAGATCAATGCGAAAAGGTGCTGTTGTTGCCGTTGAGCAGCAATTGTTGCTGTTGTTATTAGCAGCTCTCTCCCTCTCTCTCTCTCTCTCTCATTCTCGCTCTTTGGCTCTCTTTACTTACCCCAACTTGGTAGAGTATGCGCAGATCCTTGACGCTGTGCGCATGCTTGTTGCTGCTGCTGCTGCTGCTGCTCAGTCGATGTTGCTGCTGCAGCATTTGGCGCGCACGTCGCCCCGCCTGTGTGGCAGGCTCCAGCTCCGACTGTTGCTGCTGCTGCTGCTCCGCTGAGATGCTGACCACGGCAATAGTTAGCGGCTTTTCGCTGCTTGGCCTCGCCGTGCTGCTGGTGGTTGTTGTTGCTGCTGCTGCTGCTGCCGCTGCCTTGGGCGCACCTGTTAGCTCTTTGGGATCGTAGATGGCATATTCCAAGCTCTTGTGCTTGGCATCGCTGTCAGTGCTGGCCGTTGGCGTTAGCTCGTACACCTCCAGCGGCAGGCGCGTGCTCTGTGCGCCGCCTGTCAACATCAGCAGCAGCAACAGCAACGGCAACGGCAGCAACATAAGCCGCAGCAACAGCAGCAGCGAATGCGCACGTATGCTGGCCATTGTGTGTGTGTATATGTGTGTGTGTTTGGGTGTGTTGTGCGGCTGCGGTTGTTGTAATTGACACTTTTTTTGTGGGGTTTTTTTTTTTTTTTTGTAAGCAACAGCCTCCGTTGTCGTTGGCAAATCGAAACGTTGATTGTTTTTCTTTTTAATAATATTATTTTTTGTCTGTTTGTGCTTTGGCTACAATTGCAGTTTGGCTTTGAGTGTTGTTGTTGTTATTGTTGTTATTGCTGGTTTAAATTAGCCTTGGTCAGCAGCTACGGCCGCCTGGCCCAGTGGCTGGCAACATGCTACACACACACACAACGCGATCAATTTACAAAAAATATAAAATCAGGTTTAAGGCAACGATCGATGAACGATTAGCGTTGAATTAATTAACGATTGTTGCTGCACTGCGCGCATATACACCTACAGGCATATAGTATATTCTTTTTTTTTCGATTTCGTTGTAATATTTGATTGAAAAAAACACAAAAACACGCGTCTCAACGAGTTTTGTGGAACGCGGTTAACTGCTCGTCGTCTGCTCTGTGCAACCTCACAATTCGAACTGATCAAACAGAAAAACGAACGACGGCAACTTCAACTGCCGCCGAGCGTACAGCATATGTGTGTGTGTGTGTGTGTGTGTGTGTAAACGAGTATCTGTGTGGCCAAGACTTGAATGAACGCACACACACACACAAGCAGCGACAGCGACGGCGACTGCGACGGCGACGTCGTCGGCCGCATGAATGAATGTTGCGAGCAGCGACGCCGGCATCACAGCATCCCTGATGAGCGTGTGTGTGTGTGTGTGTGTACTGGTTTGCTGGTGTGCGTGTGTATCTATGTGTCTGCTGCTGTTGCTCGTTTGCACTGCAGCCGGCTCGCGTGCTGAGCGCTTGCCCCGTCGCCTGAGGCCTGCGGCCGGCCAATGCGTCGAACGATGCATCCTTTTGGCCGTTTTTGCTTGTGTTTATTTTATTTTTCTCTGTTTTTTTTTTTTTGTTTTTTTGTTTTACTCGTTTGTTGTTTTTGTCATTTTTACTACGACCGGAAACTAATTCCTGCCCAGCGACATTGTCTGCCGCGGTCGCTTCTCCCTGTTGTTGTTGTTGTTGCTATTGTTGTTGTAGTGGGTTTTTTTAAGTTGCCTCCGTTGCTGCTGGCAGCTCGGTTGGTTGTTTAATTTCGCGCGCATGCCAAAAAATAAGCAAGAAAACAAATCTGAGACTCGTCTTCGGCCTCACGTTGAAGATTGGAGTGGTGGCCAGTTCAAGCGAAAAGCGCGCGCTTCTTAAGAAAGCGCGCCAATTTTTATGTGCCTAGCGATAAGATTTCATTTCGTTTCCATTTTCATTACCGAGCTTTAGTTGGGCCCGTACCAAGCCGAAATTCACTCAACGTTTTCTATCAAATTGAGCTTATTTTCAACTGAATTCCACAAGCCAACATTCTTATCATTCGATATGTTGAATCTTATATTTGGCATGATATAGTTCCTGGACACAGTCACTTTCCAAAATTCTATATAAAAATGATTGATAAATATTGATTGAATTCATTTGAAACGTAAACAATAAATGTCTCTTCATTCAGTAAAATATTATGAATTAATTTCCCGAAATGGAATACAGCTTTTTGGAGTTTCTCAATAATTTTGAAGTTATGTATATTTCAACAGAAATTCTACACCTCATTCATTGAGTTTAAAGTACTTACTAAATAAAATATTAAATTATATTTATTTAATTTTTATATTTTAAACATAGTAAATTTCTTTTTAATTACTCCGCACTTTAGTGAATGTCGCATTGCTGAACTTTTCATTTATATTTATTATAAATGTATATTAACATTTATTAAACTCACAAATCTTTGCCGCCTGCTGCTCTCTTTGCAGGTAAAATGTATGCGGTTATTGGACGACGTCACGGCAAAATCCTATCGGGCGACCTAACCCAGGGCAGCGGCAATTTCGCGGTGACCTGCCTGCTGCCCGTCATCGAATCGTTCAACTTTGCCCAGGAGATGCGCAAACAGACATCTGGCCTGGCCTGTCCCCAGCTAATGTTTAGCCACTGGGAGGTAAGTGCAATCAACGCAGCTGTTGCTCCTGTTACTGCTGTTGCTGCTGTTGTTGCAATTGTTGCTGTTGTCGTTGATTTTTGGGCGCAAGTGCGCCACGCAGTCAACGTAACCCCTCTCGGGAGTCGGTGTCTGGCCATATGCCATGTGCGTGCTCTCTGCTTTGCGGTCTGTCTTTGGTCAGCAAAAATCTCAGTTTACCTTCGCTTTAACTTTTGCTACCTTCTGCTGAAGTCTTATAAGCTAAACCACAGCATCGGCATCGACAACAGCAGCAGCAGCAGCAGCGGCAGCAGCGACAACAGTTGCTCTGAAAGTTATATGGTCCATTTGAGCTGCTGCAGCTGTGTGCAATATTTTATTCTTGTAAAAAGAGAGAGAGAAAAATCCAATGGAAAAAAAGGGAACACATTTCAAGTGCCTGTTGTTAACGGCCTTTCCCCTGACCTTGTCGCGCAGAGCATTGTGGTTGGTAATACGCAGCCCAAAGTTGATCTCAATACCCACTTGGCAAGCGGATGGGCCCAAACAGCGGATGGGCTCGCTCAAAAAATGATTAATATAGACGCAGCACGCGCACACCCAACAAAAGTGTCGAATAGCTTTTAGCAAGAGCTCACTTAACTAGTTTATAACTTGGACGAAATTTGATGAGAAACTAAAGAAAGGCTAAAAACTATATTATCTAAGAATTAAAGCGATATTTAACAAAGATCTGGACGATCTGTGATTTTTATATCTTAACTAGCATATCTTTTCGTTCTTCTCAAAATTTAAGAAACCCTCAATGCTTCTTCAAGGGTTCATGATGAGTAGGCTTCACGATTAGAATAGTAAGATGTAAGATGTTTTTTCCCAGTCAGAAAAATGTTATATGAATAATCATTATTATATTACATTATTTAAAAGGACTGAACTACTTATTATTAAAATAATCTTCAAGTAATAAGAAGCAGCTTTCTCATATACACATATTTACATAAATAACTAGATATACGAGAGAAGAGTGTATTTTCATGTCTCCATTCTCAAACTAAATCTGAGCCTGGACAAATTGACTTTTCATGCTATATCAAAGCGTTATTGCTGATCGGTTGGACAGCAATTTGCAGCCTTTCTGTGTACTCGTCTTTATATGTTTACTATAAATAGGATATAGGATATAAACTACAAATGTCTGAAATGTTGAATGTATGCTCCAATTAATTCGTATCATACATTTAGGTCAGATATTCCATATGCTGTTTTATGTCATATATATCCACATGCCAACTTCTTGTTTAATATTTTATTTAGTTGAATTAATTACCCTATATGAATTCGCATTGTTGCTTCACTTGTCGGGTGTACAAAAATCTCCAAGTGCGTGCGCTTGTATAGGTATAAGATGTGCATGTATGTGTGTGTATGCGTATGTGTGTGCGTGTGTGTGTGTAGTATATCGCCCAACCAATCGATAACAACAAGTTTTTGTATAATGACTTCCGGTGATTTTCTATTTCTCAGCTGAAGTTTTGCCGGCAACGTTGTCTACGCCGACGTTGTTGTTGTTGTTGTTGTCGGAGTCGCTGTTGTTGTTGTTGCTGTTGTCTTTTTGCTGCTTTCGTATAATTTCATACGCATTTCCAGCGTCCGTCGAATGGTGGCGGTGAGCTGGGGAGGGGAGGGTTCGGGGCCACATTTGTAACTTTCCGTGGCGTCTTGGTAGAAATCTAACAGAAACTAGTTTGGCCAGCAGCACAAATAAGTGCATTATTAAGCCAATGGAAAGCTAAGGCCGTGTCTTTACAGCAATTAGAATGCGACGATAACAACAGCAACAACAAAAACAGCAGCAGTCGTTGTGATGTGTGTCACCTGGCGATTGAGTTCGCCCATTTTTAAATGCCGCCGACATTTTCAACAACAATAAAACAGTTATGCCATGCTGCTGCTGCAGCATTTACAAAGTACGCCCAATCGGCCAGCGTTTATGCCTACGCCCATGCCCATGCCCACGCCCACGCCCACGCCTACATTCACGGCGCACTCGCATGCGTGAGGGTCCGTCCAAGACTGACCGCGGGCGTGGGCGCAGTTGTCACGTGCCCATAATAACAACGAAGGCGGCCTCGAGTGGGCCAAGTGTTGCTGGGTGAAAGAAGGGGGGGGAGGGGAAGTTGGTTACATTTAAATTTCTTGCCGCATCATGGCCTACAATGCGTTCGTTAAGCTGCAGCAACAACAACCGCAACAACAACAACAACACCTGAGCAGCCTCTGCAGCCTGACCCCGCGCGACGACCTTTCTGGCCGAACCGCAACGGCAACAAAAACTAATTTTCAGTTTTCATATAAACATAAGTATATATTTTTCACTCACGTAACACATTAAAGCCTCAAACACACACACACAGACACTCTCACACACATTGTGGTATGGCCAGCATAAATATCTTTGCGCGACGCTCCTTGTTGTTGTTGTTGTTGTTGCTTTTGTGGCCGTTGCTACCGTCTTGCGCGCTTTTGTTATTATTTGATTTTGTATACCCTGTAAAAATAGGACAGCAATGGGATATGTTGTAGGCAGGTATGTCCCAATGCGTTGTTCTCTAACCTATTGCTCTTTTGTGGATTACATTAATTAGCATACCCTGTAAATGATATGATAGCAAAGCGTATAAAGGGTATTGGGATTATGAAATCAAAGGGCGCATTTACTTTTAAATTATGCTATATACCAAGTGCAGTTAATGTATAATTAAATACTTCATAGTAAAATCTCTAGAAAAGATCTTGAAGTTTATTTATGGGTTAGCCCTAATGTGACTATACAAATCTATAGTATATATTTTGACAGGGAATATTCCTGAAGATAGTTAGAAATTGATCTTCATTAATAACAGCATTGTTATTTGTTTAATGTGGAATATCCTAAAGGCATCATAAATGATTTTTAGTTTAATTCAGATTGTTTTCCTTTTGCTTTACATAAATTAGCATTAAAGTAGTCTTTTTTTTCCAGATTCTTGGTATTATAGTTTTTTATAAAACTCAAAATAAAGTTATTAGAATTATCGCAAAAAGCGGAATATCTCTAATGGTATTTTAAATTAATTAGTATCAGAAGCAAAGTCAAATGTTTACTTGCTCCATAACATATTTGCCAAACAGTAACTGTCATCCCTTATAGCCAGGTCATACTGTAGCCAAGGTCTTTTTTTTTCAGTGGACCGCTTTTCAGTTCTAAATCCCTCATTTTCGGTTTCAGCTCCATCAAATGCAACGGCTTTGGCTACTGGTCTTACTTTTGAGTCTTACCAAAGTTTGGAATGGGATTTTGGGGTTGGGGGTTGGTCGTGGGCAACAAATATGCCTTTCATTTGTTGCGGTTGTTGTTGTTCTTGTTTGGAGTGTTTATCATTAACGCGTCGCACATTATTGTTATTATTATTGTTGTTGCTGTTGTTGTTGTTGTTGTTGTTGTCGTGCTTTGCATACGCGAG